GCTCATTCAGAAGGACTGATAGGTGAAGGATAAGGGGCAATTGGGTCATGTCTCTTTCTCAATCGTCATTGAGGAGTCATGTGAGAAAGACAATCTTGAAATTGGTAAGGCTTTTTCATCATGGACTAATGAATCAGAGTTAAGTATAGTTTGAGAGAGGAGAGTAACTATTAACATGAAAGGATAGAATAGGCTCTACTTATGTCAAAGACAAGTTGAGCATAATACAAAACCACTGATGCAGAAATAGATAGATGGGTGTCAAGCCAACTCAATCCTTCAGCCATAACCCCATGAACGATAACATAGTCAAAGACATTACACAGTGTATGTCAGAAAATCAGACTACAAACTTTTGTAATTTCAGAAAGCAGACACTCCAAACTTTTGTAGGTTCAAAAAGTGGACACTACAAATTGTTGTAGTCTCAAAAAAGCAGACACTACAACTTTTGTAGTCTTGAAAAGCAGACAATACAAACTTTTGTAGTCTCAAATAGCAGACACTACAAACTTTTGTAGTCCAAAAAAAGGGGACACTACAACTTTTGTAGTCTCAAATAGCAGACAATAGAAACTTTTGTAGTCTAAAAAAAGGGGACACTAGAAACTTATGTTAGTAAAATTTGTAGTCTATTTCCAACATTTTGTAGTCTTTTGTAGTCTTTTAGTAAATTGTATAGTCTATTAGTAAACTTTAAACTTTGTAAGGTATGTCCAACTTTTGTAGTCTTTTGTAGTCTATCAGTGGTCCTTATAGTCTATGTCAGACTTTTTGTAGCCTTTTGCAGGCTATCCATGTCAATTTCCCTTTTGAGGTGTGCACCTTCCTTTTTGGCACAATTTTCCCACAATATGATAATTGTAGCCTCTTCTCTTGGATTTCTAAATGTGTTAAAATCATCTTGTTTGGTTTTGTTTTCATGGAGAAAAATGCAAAAAAAAAAAAAAAAAAAAAAAAGCTGGCGATGAGAAAAATATTTTACCTCATATCTCTACAATGAAAGCACTTTACAACATAATTTAAACAGATTCAGGAAGCTACAGTGCAGGACTACAATTTTTGTTCTTAACCATTTTAGGCAACTGGTCATGTGACCATTCTCCTGATGACCCACCTGACAGCAGCCAATGAAAAGGGCTGGCCTGCAATGAAAAGTATCCAATGAAATATCCTGGTCTGCAATGAAAAGCTACCAATGAAAATACCAGCAGCAATGAAAAGAGCTGGCCTGCAATGAAAAGTATCCAATGAAATATCCTGGCCTGCAATGAAAAGCAGTCAATGAAAAGAGCTGGCCTGCAATGAAGAGTATCCAATGAAATATCCTGGCCTGCAATGAAAAGCTACCAATGAAAATACCAGCAGCAATGAAAAGCAGTCAATGAAAAGAGCTGGCCTGCAATGAAAAGTATCCAATGAAATATCCTGGCCTGCAATGAAAAGCTATCAATGAAAATACCAGCAGCAATGAAAAGTGGTCAATGAGAAAGGCTGGCCTGCAATGAAAAGTAGCCAATGAAAATCCTAGAGAGCAATGAAAAGCTACCAATGAAATATCCTGGCCTGCAATGAAAAGCACCCAATGAAAATGCCAGCAGCAATGAAAAGTGGATAATGAAAAGGGCTGGCCAGCAATGAAAAGTGGTCAATGAAAATGGCTGGACTGCAATGAAAAGCAGTTAATGATAAGTTGTGACCTGCAATGAAAAGTTATTGAAATGCACAAGGCCTCTTATGAAAAAAATCCTTATCATAAAAGGGCCTGGGATATATATGATATACTTTTCATAAAAGTATGTGGAGCTATGCACAAGGCCTTCCTGGCCTATGCCATGGTTTTATGATTTGGATGGTAAGCACCACTCAAGCCGGAGCAGTTCCTCGGCGCCAGAGCGCGGTCGTTCAGGCCCACGCACCTCGAACAGAGCCAGCCTGTATCCCAGGCCTCGCTCATCCTCCCCATCCTATCGAGCGCGTTACCAACGCCGAAGCGACGAATCACCTGTCACGTCCGCAGGCTGCGCGTGCATGGTATCATTACTGGCAGCTCAAATACCTGGCACGCCCCCATGGGAGTTACGTGGAGTCCCGCATTCCTGGAAGAGGGTGTCATCCTGTTTCCGGACAACAGGACACAAATACGTCTTAGATTCTGGGCTGCCTGCGACCTTTTTCTTCACGAACATGCGCCACTTGCTGGAGCTCGCGATTAGGAGAGGCATGAAGTTCATCATAGCCATTCCATTCGAAGCACTTCCACNGCTTTCATCAACAGGAAAAGCCCAGTCTTGCCGACCTCACAAAACGCACCTATGACACTGGTTTTCAAGAGACGCCTCTCACATACAGCAAAGGCGGCTCTGCCTTCATGGATCAGTACTTAGGCAAACTGGCGGACATTCTTCGTCGGCCACACGCACGAGCAGTTATTTCTATGGGAGGCCCTACAAGTTGGATTGCGCGTTTCTACAGTGGTGACAGACTAGTAGAGGAATTCATGAGCGGACCTTCGTCCCAGGTCACTACCCACCACAGGGGCCATGTCACAACCTCCACATTCTTGAACATGCCTGTCTTCCATGATCAGCTCTCTCACCAAGAGATCAAGTTAATCCACGGCTACATTCCCCTTGGGAGTCCCAGTGAAGATCGTTGGGCCTTTCCGATGAGCGAAATACTGGAGGAGTACTCCAGCCACTGGCGGGGTGAATGGAATCAAGGATGCGAGCGCATCATGGGCAATATTGCGAGCGCCCTGGAGTCAGGAGCCCTATCCCCGCTTACCAGACGTGAATGGAGGGAGTATTTGCGCAGCAATAATCGTGGTGAGCATGCCCCATCTCCTGGAACGGTACCGAAGGCTTCAGACTTCACGTTGGTGGAGACAATGATCGATAATGCATTCCCAATCCGTTGGCATGGACGCCGAATCCGCGACATTTTCCTGCTGGAAGAACTCACTGTCCTATCAGACGGAAACTAGGGGGGCTTTGTAACAAGGGATTCAACTCCCTTATTCCCGGTATATATTCATTTACTTACTTTCCGCTGACAGAACCTCTTCGCATCACATTATTATATAGTCACGTGTCACTTGAGTAACTCACATGTTGTTCAGTAGTAACAATAATCGATTCTTTACTCTTATTACCACTGCAACTAGCATTCGGAAGAGGCGTTCTATCGTACTTCCACTGTCTAAGGCAAGTAGCATTGTTTTGAGTTGATTGCTAACTATTCTCTTGTAAAGAGGAATTGTTAGGTCATCAAATAGCAACCCCATCACTTTTCCTTACGTCTGTCACTCAGCTTTCCGTGGATTTCCCGGAAAGTTGCTGGGATTGTAGCTTCGGATTTTCGTAGTAACATCAATCCTCGCTTGAGTGCGCCCGTAGACCGTCTCCTGGGTAGGAGAGGATACACACACCTTTGACATCGTTATCTGATCTGCGCGATAAGAGACCGTTGGGATACGCAGAGTTGGTGAGCATTCCTATTTGAACTCATTACTCACGGAACACCTGCTTCAACTCCGTGGGTGGGCGTCGCCCGTGGAGACTCAACAAACCCCTGACTTAGACTCGAACGCAAGATAACCAGGGCCAGCAGCTGCCCCGACTGACCCCAGTGCTGTGTAGTTCAGTAGGTTGAGCTTTTTGAGGTGGGTTAGCGTCGTTTGGGCTTTTGCTTGGGACATGGCTTTTGCTTGGGACATTGTTGTCGTTGGGGACAATAGAGAGGAAGGTACATAAGGAAGGGAGTGAGTATGAAGATGATGGTTTGAGTGGGAGTGGGAACCAAGCTAAATGTGAATGCAAGCGCGAAGCGCTGGAGTTTTAAAAAGGGAGCGTCGGAAGGACAGATGTCATGCAGGGAAGGACACCACGCAATACTATACAGTACGCTGACTCGAAAATGTGTGAGCAACGGAACTTGCTGTGACCAACGTGATGGAAGATTGGGTATCGGGTTTTGCGCCCGCAGGCGCGCTAAGTGGTTATGATACAGTTCGGTACAGTGGTTGCACCACAGCATGTATGGAAACAGTCTTCCGCCAGCTTCGTTTTTGTGAGCTGATGGTCAATTTGTAAGCAGTGACCCCAGAAACCCCAAGCTCCCAAATCAATAGATCCAAATTTGGACCCTTGCTTGACCATTGCACTCCCTCAAGCGGCAAGATGAGGAGCGCATGGTAAGCTCTTTCACCTATGTACCATCTGCATTGCTAATCTTACTTACGAAGACCTTGTACAATGCAGACTCTGGTCGACGCCACATTGTTGCCGTTCAACATTGGGACAATTTGTCTGCAGATTATTAACCTGTTTCGTATGTTTCTATGCTTCGCTTTGTGGTGGTTGTCTTATAGACTTGGGTTTAGGCTTCTGAAGGTATGTGGAATTACAAGAATGAAGAAGGTGTAGCGACGGACCAGCTCACGCGTCTAGGAAGCAGATTTGCCGCCAGATCATCCCTGTATTTGAGTATCATCCTTGTGGTATGTAACACACACTCTGCACGATCATGCCTAATGAAAGCTTCAAGTCGGTTCTGTGTACGCCTACATGCCAAACACTTTGCACCCAACCCCATAACATTGTAGCCACCAGGTTCTCAGCTGCTTTCCCAGGAATCAAACCCCACATCCTGACACTCACCTCGAATATCCAGATGCTAATCTATTCTACAGGGATATACTCGGGATACACAGTGTCAGCAAGCAGACGTGCTCGAACATCCTCAAGGCGGGTCCAGGATCAGTGATCACGATTGTTGTTGAGGGTGCCGCGGACTTGGAGGGTTTGAGCACACTTCCGGGGACAGCGGATTTGACACTGAAACGGAGGTTGGTTGGTTCTTGTTACATCGGATGTGTGGGTGACTATTGGTATTGATGAGTGATACGTGGGTAGGTTGGGATTCATCAAGTTTGCGATCCAGCATGGGTAATGTCCTCTCTCCACCTATTTTAATTGGAGTTGTTTTTTATATTTTTTTGTGGTAGCACCGTTTTTGCCATTTGGTCTCTGTGTTTTTGTGTGGTGAAAACGATGTTTGTTTCATTGTTTCTTTGTCGTCTTTACGAGGCGGATTAGAATGGATAACAGATATTTCCATAAGCTATCACAAAGTGAGTCGTTTATGATCGACCAAGTGGTTGGGCATGCGCTGACAGCCCACAGGGCCAAAGACTCGGAAACGCCTCTAGAAGAAGAACAGTGACAGGTCCTTAAAGTCGATGTACAGTTGATAAAATCTAGTTTAGCCTCGCAATTGCACTACTTGACCCAGCTGAATGAGTTTCAAAGGAAGACGAACTGAGGCGACTTTCCAAATACTATGTCACGTATGTAAAATAACTGTTGTCTTCTTGAAGGGACATGGCCTGGGATTCTCAACAATGTTTGTTGGGAGAAAAAGAGAGATGTGTAGCGCTGAGTGACTCTAACCTGATATCCCGCTCATAAACCTATCATCATAACTTGATATTCCCTTAATTACTCCAATTTCCAACCAATTTCATCTCTTTTTACTGTCTAACAAATCACCTTCAAGTTCCTACCCACCCTTCATAATATTGTCAATGGTGAATTTAAACTGCCACCTCGGTCGCACTCCACGCTCGTAACAGTGGTGAATACAATTCAAAATCTTCCACACAACACATTGAACTGTTCGTCTCGTTCGGGCACACGCACTTCCGACAATGTTGAATGCTGATAACACATTATCCCAACGCCGCCCCAGATGATGGAAAACATCACGCATTGAAGATTTGCTTTTGAGTGGAATCTGTCCTTCAAGTTTTCAACAGTTTGACTGCACGTTTTCAGTGTTTTGCAGTCGTTGTCATGCGCGTTCGTGACACTAGGTTTTGTGGTGGTGCTCTGAGACATGGTGGGCAGGAAGGACTTGGAGCTGGGCATGCCACATTCCTTGTATGCCAAGAGTAAGGCATATAGAGGTTGTTGAAGGATGTTGTTGATGAGGTGGGACTCAAGACCAAATGGAAGGGGTGTTAACTTCAGTGGGTACCCGCATCTCGTGTTTCCCAATCTGATAGAGCAACACAGGGCTGGAAGCAGGACGAAATTCAAGTTGGCGAGCAACACATTTTTTAGATGGTGGCACCCACGAAATAACTCATGTAAAAATTTGGTAAACCTCCTGCCAGTTATTGATACCTTAGAGAAATAATGGCTATTGATGGTCTATGTAATTTAATAAGATCTACATCATAGAAAACATCCTCAAGCATCCCACTGATTATTGTCAAATTATTGTGAAAAAGTATACTCAGGGTCCAGTATTTTGATATATTGATGTAGGTGCACGGAGTTTCTGGGGTCACTCTCAGTAAAAATGGTTGGTCGGGTGTTGGTCATATAGTAGTCACGCCAGTGCCCGAAAATGTAAGACATGACTAAAAACAGTAAATTTTACAAAATTTTTGACTTCAAGTCGACTTCATGAAGTTGTGTGAAGTTGTATGGTGATGCCAAATATATGCACAATACAGTCATGTAGTAGTCTTTACTTAGTCTAGTCGCCCTCATCTGAGGGTCAATGGTTAGTCATGTAGTCACGACTTCGTAGTCCTTTTGTAGTCAAACAAAGTCAGACAAGCGTTATGCTATAGTTGTGTAGTTAGTAGTAGTCTTGTTCCAGTCATGCTCAAGTCACACAACTGATATGTGTTGGTCATGTATTTCTCTCAGGTAAGAGTCATCTCAGCATCAAATCGAAGTCATGTAAATGTCAAAATCATAAATTATATATATACCCTTCTATTCTAGCTTGAATCAATGACTTGCAGTATGAATCTGATTGTAAACCTCGAGCGGCGTCTTCATATGACATCAGGCTTTGGATGTGGATGCCTTTGTCGCTCCCTTTCGCCCTTTACGCTGTTGACAGAACATTAAAATATTACAAGATCACATAAGTACTAGAACCTACCGCTTCGACAATCTGCTTGATGTCTGCGGATGATGGTTTTTCGTGCACACTATCTCCAACAATGAGTGTAATCAAATCTAGTGCGAATAGGCAATAAGGAGTAGCACAAATAAAACTACAGGGTGAACTAACCATCTTTTGTGCATGTGCCAGAGGGTGTACGACTGGTGGCTACCACTTTTATCTATAAGCTAGACTTAAGCCTAGAGGGTCATTTCTATAACTTAGACTTAAGCCTAGAGGCCATATCTATAATGCTTAGGATTTTTTGAAAGGTATTTCAAATGTAGGCCTGGGTATTTCATAGTGAATTTTCCATAGATACCCAGCGCATTTTCTGCAAAATTTCAAATGCAGCCCTGGATATTTCATTGCGATTTTTCAATAGATACCCTTGGTATTTCATTGCGATTTTTCAATAGATACCCTGGGCATTTCATTGTGATTTTTCAAATGTATCCCTGGGTATTTCATTGTGATTTTTCAAATGTATCCCTGATATTTCATTGCAAAATTTCAATGGATACCTGGCGCATTTCATTGGGATTTTTCAATAGATACCCTGGGCATTTCATTGCGATTTTTCAATAGATACCCTGGGCATTTCATTGTGATTTTTCAAATGTATCCCTGGGTATTTCATTGCAAAATTTCAATGGATACCTGGCGCATTTCATTGGGATTTTTCAATAGATACCCTGGGTATTTCATTGTGATTTTTCAAATGTATCCCTTGGTATTTCATTGCGATTTTTCAATAGATACCCTGGGCATTTCATTGCGATTTTTCAAATGTATCCCTTGGTATTTCATTGCGATTTTTCAAATGTATTCCTGGGTATTTCATTGCGATTTTTCAATAGATACCCTTGGTATTTCATTGCGATTTTTCAATAGATACCCTTGGTATTTCATTGCGATTTTTCAATAGATACTCTTGGCATTTCATTGCGATTTTTCAAATGTATCCCTGGGTATTTCATTGTGATTTTTCAATAGATACCCTGGGTATTTCATTGCAAA